AATCCTGGCTCTGCCATGTAGAACTGTCAAATTGGACAGTATAGTCCGCACCATGCCAGTCTCTTGAGAACCTTCATTGGCTTCCTCTTGGTTCTAGGATCGAACACAAACTTCTTTGCTATCTATTCCTTCCGTCGTTTTGTAGTTGTGTCCAACTCTCCATGACCTCATTTGGGGTTTTCTTGGCAAAGACACTGGAGTGGTTTGCCATTTCCTTCTCCAGCTCATTTTACAGGTGAGGAAACTGAGGTAAACAGGGCTAAGTGACTTACCCAGGGTCACACAGCTAGGAAGTGTCTGATGTCATATTTGAACTCAGGTCTTCTCGACTCCAGGACTGGCCCTCTGTGCACTATGGTGCCCCTAGCTGCCCTCCTTTAATATTTAAAATCTTTATAACCTAGCACACAGTAGGCACTTAATAAATGTTGTTGGCTGGATGACTAACCAATACTTCTCCTAATGCGCTCCAGGCAGACGGCCTTACTTTCTTGGCTGTTCCTCAGAAACAACATTCCACATCTTTCACCCAGCACTTTCTTGTGCCTGGAATGCTCTCCCTTCTCATCTGCACCGCCTGAAATCTCTAGTGCCCTTCAGGGCTTAGCTCTGGTCCCCTCCTGTACCAGGCCTTTCCTGATCCAGGTTGCCCCCCCTTCCCCATCCCAGTTATTACTCACTCTCTCCCTCCTCCAGATTAGAACAAGCTTAATTCCCTCTTCTGCTCAAGAGCCCTTCAGATTTTTGAAGACAGCGATCATTTCTTTCCCAACTGCTCTTCATAATGTATTCCCTATTTGCTTATCTTTGGACAGAATTGTCTCTCCCTATTGGAATATAAGCTCCTTGAGGGCAGGAACTATTTCCTATTGTCTGTGTCTCCCCAGTACCCAGCTAAGCGCCTGGACCTAGAGCAGGGCGCTTAATAAACGCTTCCTGAACCAAACCGTTGATTATATCTATGCGACCTTAAGGAAATCCCTTCAATTCTCTGGGACTCAATCCCAGCATCGGAAAAATGGGGGCATTGGAGGAGAGGAGTTCTAAGTTTCCTTGTAGCCCCAGGACCCTTCCAAGTGATTCCCCGCTGTCCGAGAAGCAGCTTCAATCGTCTGGTTGATGATTCCACTTGGTCCTCTCACCGCCTGACTTTCCTGGAAAAACTGAGGATGCGTTATTTGGGGTTTCCCTCAAACGGATCCGGATATGCACCCAAACCTCCATTTCATTCTGGGCGATAAAGACCAATCTTTTGCTGCCTGGAGTCATGCAGACGGGTTTTTAATTCCCCAGCTCCTGAAGTGAGTACCGGCCACCATTTCGTTTTTACCATATGTATCTGAATGCGAAAAGGGCTAGAGGTCCCTTTTTAGCATTTGAACACTGTCGTGTATAAATCAGTCGATCACATTGAGAGGGTCACCCCAGAGATTTAGAAGGGGATGGGAGCTTAGAGGCCGGCCGTCTGGGCCGTCACCCCTCATTTTGCAGATGAAGAACTGAGTTTCAGAGAAGCGAAGGGGCTTGCCTGAGGTCACACAGGAAGTAAGTCGTAGGGCTTTTTGACTCCAAATTCAGCGCTGTACCATAGTCCCAGAGGCCAGCTGATTCAATTCGTACAACAACAACAACAACAATAATAATAATGATGATAATAATAGTAATTTTTATTATTATTATGTATATATTGCTTACCACATGCCGGGCACTGTGCTAAGTGCTTTACAACTTGAACCTAATCTGATTCTCACCAGAACCCTGGGAGGTAGGTGTTATTATTATTCCCATTTTACAGATGAGAAAACTGAGGCTCCCAGAGGTTGGGTGGCTTGCTCAGGGTCAACAAGTTAGTGAGCTTCAAAAGCAAGATTTGAACTCAGGTCTCCCTGACTCCAGGTCCAGCACCTATTAACAGCCTTCCTTTCCTTTACAATATCTGGATAAGGGATTACTCTGCTACCTCCCAGGGCATCCCAGTTCTCTTAGGGATTGCTCTGATTGTTAGGGAAATTTCCATTTCCTTTACATCCAACGTAGATTTCTACCTGATTCTCCTGGTTCGGTCCACTGGAACCAAACATAACAAAGCTAATTCCTCTTTTCCAAGAGGACCCTTTAAATACTCGAAGACATCTATTATATCCACGATGATTCTTTTCTTCTCACCTCCACTTTCTTTGCCATTTCCTCACCCACCCTAAACGTGAGATCCTTGGACATACAGTGGCCTTCTAGCTTGTCAATTACCTTCTTGGGCTGGACTGTGATTTCAATGGTATAGGGAATTCCCAGTGAGGAAACTCTCTCCACCAGTGGAGGTTAGCGCCTGTTCTCCAGCTGAGAGGTTAAGGAATTTGCCCAATCGCATAGCTAGGATATGTCAAGGAAGGAGCTTGTGAATAGCCTTTCTATAATGTGATGCCCCAGAATCATTCATGAGTGAAGGATTATGGTCCCCCCCTTTCATTCTGTCCCAGAGCTGCCCTCTGGGAAGACATTTGTAGAAAATAAAGTACTCTGTAACCAGGAGGGACCAACCCCTTTTTGGAGACACCTCATTTTTCACCCTCCTTCCTTCAAAGTGAATTGCTCCCCTTTGCCTCCTACCCACTCAGCCCCAATATTTAGTCTGCTCTTTTCTCTCTTCCTGCTCTTTTTTAACCATTAAGCAAAACATCTCCCTGTTTCCTGCTTTTAAAACTGCAGGCTGTATCCGTGAGGTGTTTCTAGGTGGGGTGGAGTGGGGGACCTGAAAGCTCTCCCTGGTTCAGACAGACTCTAGACTCAGGGATTTCACAAAGGGGTCAGAGCTTTGGGGTGAGTCTGACTGGCTCTGCTCTGCTCATCTGTCTCCAGATCTGGTCTGTGGAGGGGAGGGGAGGGGAAGGAAGGGAAGAGGAGGAGACTCACGACCCTGCAGACATAACCAGGCATTCACTGCAAGGAAGGCAACATGGAGAATTGAGGCAATTAGATGCATGATAGAAAAGAAATAATGTTTCACTTCTGCAAAATACTCAAAATTTTCAAACAACATTGCTCAAAGCACCCCCTTTGTGAAGTTCCAGGATGCTGCAGAGGGAAAGAATGCTAGATTTGGAGGCAGGGGCTCCGGGTTCAAATCTTGACTCTGCAACATATTGCTTATGTAGACATGTCATTTCTCTTCTGGGACTCAGTTTCCCTATCTGTAGCTAGCTGCTAGGTGGCACAGTGGACAGAGTGCTAGGCCTGGAGTCACAAAGACCTGAGTTCAAATCTTGCCTCACACACTTGCTAGCTGTGCAAGCCTATCTTGGACTCTCAGCTGTAAAATAGGAATCAAAACAGCACCTTCCTTTCAGGTTTGTTGTGAAGAAAATGAGAATGTGAAGAAAGTGTTTTCTTATAAAATGAGAAAATATTTGGAGGGCCCCTGGCACACAGTGGACACTTAATAAATACCTGTTTCTTTTCCACACAATGCATAATACTTATTATGTAGGCATTCTTGAAATGGAAATTTATTGCTACATATTTTGAATCCTCTCACCGTTTTGCTGTGCACTTAACATGCTTCCCCCCCCTTTTCTTATTTTATATTTAAGTTTATAATATGTTTCTTTTTCTTATTATACATTTAAGTTTTAGCATTTAGGTCTAAAATAAAAAAATAAAGGTAGGGAAGCCAAAAAATAAAAAAATAAATGTTTGTTCCCTTTTCTCTCACTGAGGACAGTTAGACTAAATGACCTCTAAGATGCCATCTGGGTCCCAATCTTTGATCCTAAGATAGATAGTAGGACCAAGTGCTTTCTCCCCCATTTTACAGATGCCTCATCCGAGGTGAAGTGATGTATTCCTGGTCACAAAGATGGGAAGTTGTTTTCCAGGCCTTAGGGTCAGAAGACATCTAAAAGTTCTAATCGAATTCTCTTATTTTTATAGATGAGGAAATTGAGGCCCAGATGAGTTAAGTGACTTGCCCAACCTCTTCTAGGTAGCAGGTGAGTCAGGATTAGAACCCAGATCTTCTGCCACCAAACCCAGAACTCTTGCTTCTCAAAGAGCCAGCCTTTAGGCTTTTGTTTTTGTATCTCTATTGCCTAGCTCAGCACCTGGGGTATATAGTGGGTATTTAATAATTGCTTGTTGAGTTGTTCTGTTGGATTTCCAAGACCAAGGCTGAGGAAGACCTAGAACCCAGGTCTTTGTTATACATGACTGTATTGTTATGTGATGAACAGTATCACTGTTGGAAACACTCCCTTCTACCCTCTTCCCTTGTCAGAACGTAAGCTCTTCCAAGACTGGCACGGTTGCGTTTTTTGTCTTGGTATCTTGTCATGCAGTGGGTGCTTAATAAATGCTTGTTGCTTTGCAACAAGTCCAGCAAGCCCTCTCTCTCTTTCCACTCTACCAGCCCATCTCTCACAAGAGAGAAATTCTTGCCCACAGAAGATGACGTATATGTTAGGTGGCTTTCTACCACACCTGGGCCTCGGCTGCTCAGATAACTGGACAGTAATTTGTGCGTGTGAGGCGATGCAATGCGATGCGGGGCGTTCGTTCTCCCTCTTTTGGGGATAGTTGCGGGGAGATCATGGCCTGGATGCTGCACTCAGCTCCTTGCTTGTGAACACTAAGTCTTGATTCCCGTATTCCCCTGTCCGAGGGGATTCAGGATCGGAGCTTTGAAATCCTGCCCCGGACGTGTGTGAATGTGTGAGTGTGTGCGCGCGTCGGGAGGGAGGGAGGAGAGAGAGGAAGAGGAGGAGGCCGCTAGAAAAGGGGAAGAAGGACGGAGGGAAGGGGCAGACAGGGGGCCCGGCGGCAGCCAGCCAGCCAGTTTGGTCTCTGTGTCGCTTAGGCAGCGACGGAGGCGGAGGCAGAGTGAGGCTCTGATGGTTGGGGTGGGAGGCTGCAGGCGGGGAGGGGGCCGAGCCTAGCCTACCGAGCGGGGCCGGGCTGGGCTGGGCCAGCCTTTGGAGCTCTCTCTGGCGGCCACAGCTGGAGCGCGGCCAGCGGAGGCACAGACAGAGGCAGAGGCAGGGGCAGAGGCGGCTGCTACCCAGGCAGGGATACAGGCAGGAGCAGGAGCAGGAGCAGGAGCAGGAGCCCGAGCTGGGGCAAGGCGCAGCGCACCGCCTCCGAGCGCTCCCGGCCGGCCGATCGGGAAGCAGTCCCGCGGGCCGGAGCTCGAGCCGCGCTGCCCGCCAGCCCTGCCGTGTCCTGCCCCGTCCTGTCCCGCCGTGTCCTGCTCTGCGCCGGGCCCGTCCCGCTTGCTTCGTCTCCCTTGCTTAGCCTCCGCGCGCACGTAATGGGCTTTCTGGACTCGGGGTGGGGCAGACAGGGCTCGGGGCCCGGGGGTGAAGGGGGGACAGATCCCACTGGTCTGCGGCCTGGGAGCAGTGGGAGCGGGGCGGGAAGGGCCGGGAGCCAGGAGCGCAGCCCCGGGGGCCCCTCGCAGACGCAGACACCGCGGCGGCGGCGGCACTTGGCTGCAGCGCGGTGCTGCTGGCACGGGCAGCGGGCCATGCGTCCATCCGGGCGCAGTGCCCTTGTCCCGACTGGGCCGGGCCGGGTATCCGAGCCTCGCTGCGTCCTCAGGTTTTAGCCCGTCCCGGCCTGAGCTGGGCCAGTGTCCGCCTGCCCAGCCCCCTTTCTCTAGGGCCCCCCTCTCCTCTCCAGCGCCCCCTTGCCCCTGACGCGCCCCCCCTCTCCGTTCTCCCCACAGGCTCCCAAGTCCCGGGCGCGGAGCCGAAGCCCCAGCCCCAGCCTCAGCCTCCGGTAGGCCGGCCGGCCGGCGCCTCCCCTCCTCCTTGTCAGGCCCCGGCTCTGGCTCCCGCAGCCCGAGGAAGAAGTGGAGCAGGACGCAGAGAAGAGGGGGCCCCGCTCCCCGCGCCTTGGCCCCGCGCCCCCTGCTGCCTCCATCGTGCCCCTGCCCCCAGCCATGGTGGGCCACCTGCACTTCCAGGGCATGGAGGACAGCCTCAAAGAGAAAAGCCGGGAGGGCTTGTTGGACAGTCCCGACTCCGGGCTGCCCCCCAGCCCCAGCCCGCCCTTCTACTCCCTGACCCCCGGGATCATGGACAGCCGATCTGCAGGCAGTGGCGCCTCTGCTGAGTCGCCAGGAACCGGGCCCCATGGGGACCCCCCAGGAGGCCGTAGTGGTAAGACCGCCTTCTCCCCCTCTCTCCGTCACAACCATTTCGGGTGCCCAGGGCAGCCAGACCACCTGGGCCCGGTCTTTATTTGTCCAACGATTTGGTGTGTGCCTACTCTGATTGGGTGCTTCCCCCTAACCCACCCATGGAAACAGCTATGGACTTCATAGACTCAAGGGAGCAAATGGTACCGAGAGCAAGTGGGAGAGAGTCATCAGCGTAGCTTGGGGGTGGGGGAAAGAAGTTCTCAGGGGCCCACTCCCTCAGGCAGCTAGGATGTACCTTGTTCCTGATTGTAGCCGGAAAGTTAACCTGCCCAGGGTATTTGCCAAGGCCCTCTTGCCTCAGGCAGTTCTGGGAGTAAGGTAGACAGGAGGCTGGGCAAGGCTGGGCACCTGGTGGTACAGCCTGGCCCCGGGATGCCCTGGCTCTACCATGTGATGGCTAGATTGTCTTTTTGTGACTGAAGACAGAGTTGAAGGGGGTCTGAGGAAGCCAGAGAGTTCAGGGATGCTCTTGGGGAAGGAGCGAGAGATGGCTTTTCTAGTTTACTGAGTCTCTGACCTGGGAGGTTGAGAGATAGCCCAGCCCAGGGCTTGTGGGCGACTCTGGACTTCTGTGCATTTGTGGTTCATGCCAAACCCTACTTAGTCTCTACTGCTGTTCCTTGGACATCAGCCAATACGAAAAAAAAGTCTAGGGCCCTAAAGTGATTGGGGGTGTGGGTGGGGGCAGACAGAACTTACTGGTCCAGGTCAGGAAGCTGCTCTTCAACACTGGGCACCACTTCACGTTGCTGTTGGGGAGTTCTGCCTCCTCTAGAAACCTAGGCTGCATTAGGTGGTGAACCGGGGCAGAAAGTACGTCCAGAGCTGAACCTGGACAAGTAGGTGACCCTAGGGGCCAAAACCTGAGAGCAAAAGCCAAAACACAGGAAATGGGGCTAGGAGAAGGACGATTGGACCCAGGCTCTTTGGGTAGATAGATTTTTTTAAAAAGACAATTAGGGTTAAGTGACTTGCCCAGGGTCACACAGCTAGTGTCCAGTGTTTGGTCTGAGGCTGGATTTGAACTCAGGTCCTACTGATTTCAGGGCTCATGCTCTATTCACTGAGCCACCTAGCTACCCCAAGTAGATAGAATTTATGCTGATTCCTCTTGGTCTTCTCTTTTTCCTACAGTGTCCTCAACATTGGGGTCTTGATTTAGCTGATCTGTCTCTCTGTCACTCTCATCACCCCCACTCTTCCCCATCTCTTCCCCTCCCCTTTCCATCCCCTTCTCCCCCTTTTCCCCCTCCTCTCTCTGCCCCCCCTCTTCCCTCTCCCTCTCCCTCCTCTTCTCCCCCTCCCTTTCCTCCTCCACCCCCATACACAATTTTGCTTCACCTAAACATCTTTCAGGCAGCTGGGGAATGCTCACCTGGCTCTTTGCAGGTATTTTCTGCTGTGCATTAATTACCTTTTACTCCAGGTGAAACCCCTTTGTTCAGTAATAAGCTATCCTGCACCCCAAGCAAAGCCCAGTGGAGCATAAGCCTCACTGGGGCCACTCCTGAAGCTAACTTCATTTGGCCTTCCTGAAGTCTCATAATGAATTTGTACCTTGATTATGTATCTTCCCCCACCCCCTTTTTTGGTGGGGGTGGGTGACTGAAGCTATTTTCATTGAAAGTGATCTCCTTCACGCCTAATATGCCAGATTTCCTGCCAAAGATGTAGTGTCTGAGTCTCAAAGTCATTTGGAGGGTATGTGAGTGTCTGAACTAGTCAACAGGGGAGGCCCCAGTATGGGGGAGATTCTGGATAAATGTGGCTGATTTCTTGGGGGTTTCTGTCTTCTTTACGTTCCCAGTCCCTCTGTTTCTCTCTGGCCCAGGAAGGTAGAACAAATAGGACCATTTTTTCTTGTGGCTTGTTTTGGGTTAAGGTTGCTCCCCAAGGCCCCAGATGCCTCTTGGTGCATTTTGCCAGCCAGAAGCCCTTCCTGGAATGAAGGGAGGTCCAGACTCCCTCAGCTTTGGCATTTCCAATGCTCCGAGGCCTTTTCTAGACCTGTGGAATAATACTATCTCTGTATCACCAGTGCCTAGCAGAGTGCAGGTCATAAAAAGAAAAACATAAAAACAAAAACTCTGGATCTGAAATCAGAGACTTTCAGGTTGAGGCAGGCCTCTTCCACTTTTACCTGTGTGACTTGGAGCAAGGCATTTAATGTCTCTCTGCCTTGGTTCTCCATCTGTAAAATGGGAGTGTGGGACAAGATGGCCAGTGAGGGCCCTTCTGGTTTCAAACACATGATCCTAAGTCATTTCTCCTTTTAGGCATCAGTTTCCCTATCAGTAAAATGAGGGCATTAAATGACTCTGAGATCTCCAGAAAACATTTAGAATCCTCTGTAATTGATTTATGCATGCCTGTCCAGTAATGTTCTGCAGAGAGGCCTGTGGACCAAGTAAATTCAGATGGCATGCTATGTTTCAAGTAAATTTTTATCTTTGCCAGCACCTAGCACCATGCTTTGCACACAGTAGGTGCTTAATGTCCAATTCATTAAGCATTTGTTAAGTACCTACTAGGTGCCAGGCATTACTCTGGGAATGGGGGGGGGGAGTCCCTGCCCTCAGGGAGCTTACTTTCTCCTTTGGGGTAGCAAGGAAGAGGGACTGGGGAATCAATCGGATATATAAATGCCAAATATGTGCAGGGTTAGTTAAAAATAATAAACATTTGGCCTTGGGGCCAAATCTACTCCTGGCACCATGTCTGTGGGACTGAATGCGAGATACCCAGCCTCCCCAGGACCCAGGCTTCTCCCAATGAAGAATTTGGCCCGGCTGGCCTCTCAGGTCTCTTGCAGTCTAGAGCAGTAACAGCTGGGGTAGGGGTGGGGCAACCAGGCAAATATTTGTGTGCCAAGCACTGGTAATACCGAGACCAAAATGATAGAATTCCTGCCCTCAAGGAGCTGATGTTCAACTAAAAATTAACAATTGACGTTCATGCAGAGGTTTTTAAAGTTTACCTCCATTAGCCTGTTTCATCCTCACAACAAACTTGTGAGGTAAGTATTACAAGACTGTCTTTATAGATGAGGAAACTGAGGCTGAGAAAAGCCCCTCATCACACAGCCAGCAGGATTTGAACCCAGGTTTTCCTGACTTCCAGATACCTCCCTGACCTGAATGGTGAGCAGCCAGACAGGCCCTAGGTTCTAGAATTGTCCCTCAGGCGGGGCCCTCAGGGGTGTCCCACTTCACACTCGTTGAGCTGTCTGCCCTTCCCTTCGGCAGGTCCTTTTTCGGGGCCGTGTCCAGCCAGGCCACTCCCAAGAGCACCTTTGCCCAATGTCCCCCTTCTGCTCCTTGAGCATTGCGTGTTGTTGTAGCTGGGCCCTATAAAAAGGTCCAGCCCCCCTCTAATAAGCACGCCTGAGCCTCCAACACAATGCTCCATTGATTCAGGGCTATGCAGTCAGATGTCTGGGCTACAGCGTCAGCATCTAAGAAAATATGAAAGGCATCGTGGGGCCAGGCCCATAAATAAATGAAACCCCATTTACACTGGATTTTTTTTCTTGCACTTGCTTCGGAGCAGGGCTGGAATGTTCGGCTCCCCTCCCAAACCAAACATGCCTTCCGGAGTCCCTCTGGGCATTGGAGAGCAGGCAAGCTGGGAATGTGCCTTCTCTCCAGCCTTTTCATGTAACTGTGTTACTGTGTGCAGGTCTATATTTGCCTTACTTTTTTAAAAAGGGTGAACAAAACCCCAAAACAGGAGGCATTCCCCCCACCCTACCCCAAGTTGAAGGTTGAGTAAAATAGCTTTGCAAATCTTGGAACCTCTATCAGCCTGGGGAGGAAAAAGTTGCCCGAGGTGGAGGGAGGGCTCTGTGCACAAATCCAGGCTGTTTGCTGAGAGGGGAGCAGGGCAGAAATAAGTCAGTGAGGGCTCAGTGTCCTAGGAGAAGGTGCTGGCTCTGATATCGGAGGCCTCGGGGCCAGATCGACTTCTGGAGCCAAGTCTGTGTGACTGAGGGCGAGACACCCAACCTCCCTGGGAACCCTGGCTTCTCACAATGAAGAATTTGGCCTGGCTGGCCTCTCGGGCCCCTTCTAGTCTGGAGGTACGTTCTCAGGACCTCGGGTTTTCATTGGTGAAAAGCTGAGACAGATGAGCCCTGAGGGGCCTGTCAGCCCTGCAGATGTTACAGTCCTACCCGTGGCCCCACAGCCAGGTCGCAGCAGAGTTAGGGCTCCAGCCCCCACTGAAAGCTTTGCCTCCTCCCGTGATCCACTCAGAGTGTGTCTGTGGGTGGACGCTGGGAAAGAGGCCAGGTTTTTTCATCTCCTTGTCCTGAGGAACACTGTCCTGGAGGCTGCCTCAGGAGGTAGCAGGCCACTCTTCTTGGGCGTCTTCAGGGCAGTGATGAGTGACCGCTTGTCAGATTTTTTAGTATCATGGGGACTCCTTTTGTGGCTAGATTGGACTTACTGGCCCATGAGGGTCTTTCCAGTTCCCAGAATAGGAGATTCTGTGAGAGGGAAAGGGACATAACAGCTTGAGTTAACCCGGCAAACTTGATACCAGTGCAGCACCAAGGGTGGCTGGGCTGCCAAGGTTAGAGCACTGGGCGTGGAACCAGGAAGACCTGAGTGTAAATTCTGCCTCAGACACTTCTTAGCTGTGCTGACCCTGGGTAAGTCACTTAACCTCTGACTGCCTCAGTTTCCTCGACTGTAAAATGAGAGTCATAGTAGCACCTATCTCCTAGGGTTATTGCAAAGATAAGTAAGATATGTTATACAAATAGAAGATATAGTATACATGCACACACACATACTCTGATCCCTTTACACATGTGTGTATATATTACTCTGCAAACTTTAAAGCATTATGTAGGTGGTAGTTATTATTATTATTGTTGTTGTTTTTACTGCATGCTCTCTACTCCGGGCAAGTCCAAATGATTTGGGGAGTATCTATGTGGCATGGACGATGGACAGC